AATTTGTGCGCTTTGAAATGTTTGTAGTGCAATTATTTCTCCCGTGGTAGATTGCTATTGTTGTTTGGTTTTACCTGTTGACACCTCTGTGGTTGGAAGTGATGAAGTTAAGATAGTGGTGCTGTGAGTTGTTTGTTGTGTTGATTTTTGAGTGCTAACAAGAGTGGTTGGCTTTGTTGTTTTCATTGCAGTCTGTACTGCAGTGCTAGTAGTCATTTGGGTGGTCAAATTTGTGGTAGGGTGTATCGTTGTAAGGAGAGATGCTTTTAGTGTTGCTGGATGAGTGGAAATGGCTGTGACAAAATGTTTTAAAAAGATATCGATATGAGTACCAGCTGGGTGTTGGTTTGTTGATATCTTAATAGGGAACACAAAAATGTATGAAGGAATTTTCATTTTTTATAGTGATAAGTGTGGTTTTACCTGTTGTGACTTCTGTTGTAGGTTGCACTGTGGATAGAATCGTAGTCTTTTGAGTAGTTTGTTGCGTTGATTTTTGAGTGGTGACAATGGTTGTTGGTTTGGTTTTTTTTACAGAGGTATGTTCGGTAGTTCTTTCCGTCGTGAAGTGAGTGGTTGGGCTTATAGTTGTTGGAAGTGTTGTCTTCTGTTGTTCTTTCCGTCGTGAAGTGTGTGGTTGGGCTTAGAGTTGTTGGAATCGTTGTCTCTGTTGTTCTTTCCGTCGTGAAGTGTGTGGTTGGGACTTTAGTTGTTGGAAGTGTAGTTCTTTCCGTCGTAATGAGTGTTGTTGGAACTATAGTTGTCGGTACTGATGTCTTCTCTGTTGTTTGTCGAGTGGTTTGCTCTGAGATTAGACGGGAAAGGTTGCTTTTATCGATATAATTATTGTAAGAACATCTTGATTTTGTCCTGTAGCTGCTTGGTGCAGGACATTATAAAGTTTACCTCTATGTACGATTATGTAGTTGTACATTTCATTTGTACTTGTACCTGCCTTTATAGTGTATTTATAAAAGTCATATAAAAGAATCTACAACGTATAGCTATATTACTTTGGTCTGTTGTTGTTATTTCATGTACTGAAGGCTTCTACGAAATGGCTAGACCTTATCTTAGAACTTTTTATTTTAGTTTCCTAAAAGAAAGTATTACCTGTGGTGATTTCTGTTGTGGGAAGCACGGTGGTTTGTGCGGTCGTTTTGAGAGTGGTTTGATGCGTTGTTTCTTCAGTGGTTACGGACGTTGTTGGTGATGTGGTTTGTTGAGTAGTTTGTTCCGTAGTTTCCTCTGTAGCACGAACGTGTATTAAGAATAGATACTGATTTAAGTGAGAAAACATATGCGTTGGTCTTGAAATATTCTATAATAGATTGATCAGAACGTAAATGTTTTTTTGGAGAACTCAAATGCTGAAATACCATGTACAATCATATATATTGATTTGAATTTGATGTGTACACTAAGAAGTATTCGTGTGCAGTACGATATTCTGTTGTTTTTTTTCGAGGTTGCAAATAATGTGTGATTATACCTGTTGACACCTCTGTGGTTGGAAGTACTGAAGTTAAGAAAGTGGTGCTATGAGTAGTTTCTTGTGTTGATTTTTGAGTGGTGGCGAGAGTGGTTGGCTTTGTTGTCTTCTGTGTTGTCTGTGCTGCAGTAGTTCTTTGAGTGGTTAAATGCGTTGTAGGGTTTATTGTGGTCGGGAGGGATGTCTTAACTGTTGTTGGATGAGTGGACATGGCTGTGACAAGAGTTTTAAAGGTTATCGTATATGAGACAGTGTTTTATTTTTCTACTCACGTTTGTAAATATCTTGATATTGAACACAAATATGTAGCAATAAACTAGTTGTTTTCTTTGGAAAAGTGTGATTTTACCTGTTGTGGTCTCTGTTGTAGGTTGCACTGTGGATGGTAGCGTAGTCTCTTCAGTAGTTTGTTGTGTTGACTTTTGAGTGGTGACAATAGTCGTTGGTATCGTTGTTTTTTCAGTGGTCTGTTCGGTAGTTTTTTCCGTAGTGAAGTGTGTGGTCGGGTTTAGAGTTGTTGGAATCGTTGTCTCCTTCGTTGTTATTTTCGTCGTGAAATGTGTGGTTGGGACTTTAGTCGTTGGAAGTGTTGTCTTCTCTGTTGTTCTTTCCGTCGTGAAGTGTGTGGTTGGGCTTAGAGTTGTTGGAATCGTTGTCTCTGTTGTTCTTTCCGTCGTGAAGTGTGTGGTTGGGACTTTAGTTGTTGGAAGTGTAGTTCTTTCCGTCGTAATGAGTGTTGTTGGAACTATAGTTGTCGGTACTGATGTCTTCTCTGTTGTTTGTCGAGTGGTTTGCTCTGAGATTAGACGGGAAAGGTTGTTTTTATCGATATAATTATTCTAAGAACATCTTGATTTTGTCCTGTAGATGCTTGGTGCAAGGCATTATAAAGTTTACCTCTATGTACGATTATGTAGTTGTACATTTCATTTGTACTTGTACCTGTCTTCATAGTGTATTTATAAAAGTCATATAATAGAATCTACAACGTATAGCTATATTACTTTGTCTGTTGTTCTTATTTCATGTACTGAAGGCTTCTACGAAATGGCTAGACCTTATCTTAGAACTCTAGATTTTAGTTTCCTAAAAGAAAGTATTACCTGTGGTGATTTCTGTTGTGGGAAGCACGGTGGTTTGTGCGGTCGTTCTGAGAGTGGTTTGATGCGTTGTTTCTTCAGTGGTTACGGACGTTGTTGGTGATGTGGTTTGTTTAGTAGTTTGTTCCGTAGTTTCCTCTGTAGCACGAACGTGTAATTAGAATAGATACTGATTTAAGTGAGAAAACATATGCAATGGTCTTGAAATGTTCTATAATAGATTGATCAGAACGTAGATGTCTTTTTGGGGAACTCAAATGCTGAAATACCATGTACAATATTGATTTGAATTTGATGTGTACACTAAGAAGTGTATTTGTGTGCAGTACGATATTCTGTTTTTTTTTTTGAGGTTGCAAATAATGTGTGATTGTACCTGTTGACACCTCTGTGGTTGGAAGTACTGAAGTTAAGAAAGTGGTGCTATGAGTAGTTTCTTGTGTTGATTTTTGAGTGCTGGCGAGAGTGGTTGGCTTTGTTGTCATCTTTGTTGTCTGTGCTGTAGTAGTTCGTTGAGTGGTTAAATGCGTTGTAGGGTTTATTGTGGTCGGGAGGGATGTCTTAACTGTCGTTGGATGAGTGGTGATGGCTGTGACAAGACGTTAAAAAGTAATTGTATATGAGGCAGTGTTGTATTATTTTGTTCTACTCACGTTTGTTAGTACCATTGATATGGAACACAAATATGTAGCAAAAAAACTAGTTGCTTTCTTTTGGAAGAGTGTGATTTTACCTGTTGTGGTCTCTGTTGTAGGTTGCACTGTGGATGGTATCGTAGTCTCTTCAGTAGTTTGTTGTGTTGACTTTTGAGTGGTGACAATAGTCGTTGGTATAGTTGTTTTTTCAGTAGTCTGTTCGGTAGTTTTTTCCGTAGTGAAGTGTGTGGTTGGGTTTAGAGTTGTTGGAATCGTTGTCTTCTTCGTTGTTATTTTCGTCGTGAAGTGTGTGGTTGGGACTTTAGTCGTTGGAAGTGTTGTCTTCTCTGTTGTTCTTTCCGTAGTCAAGTGTGTGGTTGGGCTTAGAGTTGTTGGAATCGTTGTCTCTGTTGTTCTTTTCGTCGTGAAGTGTGTGGTTGGGACTTTAGTTGTTGGAAGTGTAGTTCTTTCCGTCGTAATGAGTGTTGTTGGAACTATAGTCGTTGGAAGTGTTGTCTTCTCTGTTGTCAGTCGAGTGGTTTGCTCTGAGATTAGAAAATAGGAATGGTTGATATTTTCGATGAAGTAATTATTAAAGGAACATCTGAGATGTTGATTTTTGTCGTCCCTAAGCTGCCTTCTGAAAGAGAACATTGAGTTTGGTAATTGTGCAGTAAGAACAATGATTGGTGTTGTCGCCTTTGCTACATGGTTAGTGCTGTAGTTTTTCTACAGAGAAGTGTATAGTGACGCAAATATAGACGAATCTGGTATTTTCTAATCTATAATCTCTAGAACGACATTTTACCAATAGACATGTGTTCATTCATGTTTTTTTGTGCTTTGTGTTGTTCAATAGGAAAATGAGGTTATCGGTGACATTGTTGCTATTGTAAGGGATGTTTCTGAATACAGAAATATTACCTGTCGTGACCTCTGTTGTGGGTAAAACGGTTGTCTGTGCAGTAGTTTTGAGGGTGGTTTGACGTGTTGTTTCTTTAGTGGTTAGGAGGGTGGTTTGACGTGTTGTTTCTTTAGTGGTTAGGAAAGTTGTTGATGATGTAGTTTGTTTAGTTGTTTGTTGTGTAGTTTTTCCTGTAGGAGAATCCATTTACATTTTATTATGAATCAATACTGTTAGGAATGTGTTAGTCATGGTAAGGTATGTACAATGTATGTGTAGTGTAATGTTTTTTTCATTGGTAGATAGCGGTAAATTTGTTTGACCTATTAAGCCCTCTATAGTCTGAAGTACTTAAGTATTGAAGGTAAGATAATGCAGTGGTGCCATGAGTAGTTTGTCGTGTTAATTATTGAGTAATTATTGAGTAATTATTTTTGTAAAGACATGTAGAAATGTCCATAAATTTTTGTCATGTGTGTTTGAATTTGGAGTTGGTATTCATATAACACATGTGTTTTTGTTGCTGGAGTTAGTATTCATTTACCCGTAGTTATCTGTGTTGTTGGCTTGACCGTTGTTGGGAAGGTGCTGAAATGTGTGGTTGGTTGTTTTGTCGTTGGGATGGTTGTTTGATGCGTGGTTTTAGCTGCAATGAAATATTCATATATCTTATATATATATTCAACATTCTTTAAAGACAACAAACTGGAGGACAGTGTATTAGGTTGTGAATCCATTTTCATCAAACAGTAACAAAGCGGTATTATTTTATGATCTACCAGCTCTCAGGTAGATGTCGATTAAGATCTTGATAGTGACTGCCCTCTTTTGGAATAAACTAAGTTTACGCAGGGATCAAATGGTATTACCTGTTGTGACCTCTGTTGTAGGTTGCACCGTGGATGGTATCGTACTCTTTTGAGTAGTTTGTTCTGTAGATTTTTGAGTGGTGACAATGGTCGTTGGTAAAGTTGTTTTTCGGTGGTCTGTTCGGTAGTTCTTTCAGTAGTGAAATGCGTTGTTGGGACTTTTGTTGTTGGAAGTGTTGTCTTCTCAGTTGTTTGTAGGGTGGTTTTCTCTAATATATGGTAGGGAAATTGATATAGTTAATGAAGTACATAATAAGGGCACCTGAGATGATTGTTCCATGATAACATAAAGTTAATTTCTATAGTGTATGGATATAGTTTATGTCTTTTTATGCTAGCCCATGTTGCATCAATAATGTCATTCATGATGTTTTCAGCATGTGAGTGCTTTTATCAAAGTGATTAAAACGTCCACTTCAGGTCATTTGGAGTTGGATTCTTCCTGGAGATTGTTGGGGGTGTTGAGCTACAGTTTGCAGTTTCGACTTTGAAAATAATCTGTCGTAGACGATGAGTAGTGGTGGCCAATGCATGAGTGTGTGTACCTGTGGTAATAGCTGTTGTTGGCTGTTTTGTGGAAGGTATCGTGCTCTTTTGAGTGGTTTTAAGTGTTGATTTATGAGTGGTGACAATGGTAGTTGGCACCGTTGTCACTTCAGTGGTTTTTGCTGATGTTCTCTCCGTTGAGATGTGCGTTGTTGGCTTTACTGTTGTGGGAAATGTTGTCTTCATTGTTGTTGGCTGAGTTGTTTTCTCTGAGAAATGAAAAAGTTTGTAGACGCTGATACTATGAAATTGTTTATGAAATTTCTTCATGACGGCATGTGTGCTTCGTGATAGGTATCATACTAGGCGCCTTTTATGTGTCAATTTGAATTTGGAAATATTTTGTAGGTGCGAGTATGGTTTTACCTGTTGTAGGTTGCACGGTGGATGGTACCGTAGACCCCTGTGTGGTTTGCTGTGTTGTTTTTGTGTGGTGGCTATTGATGTTGGTAGAGTTGTCATTTCAGTGGTGTGCTCAGTAGTTCTTTTAGTTGTAATGTGTGTTGTCGGGACTAGAGTTGTTGGAAGTGTTGTCTTCTGCGTTGTTTTTTCTGCGATAAGTGGAAAATTGTTGTTGCTGATAAAGAAACTGTAAAGACATCTGGCATGTTCTGTATTTAAGTTGTTTGCCGATATAGAGATAATGGCGGTGACTCTGTACCTTTTTGTGTAGAGCTTGAGTCAAACATTGTGTGAATAGAAGGTGTCTCATTACCTGTTTCTGTTAGTTGGTGGTGTGCATATGTTACCTAGTACCTGCAATGATCTCTATTACTGGATGCTCCGTAGATATGTAGATGTATTTGCTGACATGTTTTGGTCACTATAAATACGATGTACATTTACCTGTTGCAGTCTGTGTTGTTGGGTTTAGCGTCGTTGATATGGTGCTAACTTGTGTGGTTGGTGTGATAGTTGTGATGTGTGTTGTTTTTTCAGTAGTTTGTGGAGTTGTTTTTTCAGTGGTAACAAAAGTACTCAGTATCGTTGTATTTTCTGTTGTCTGTGAGGTAGAGCTTTTTGTAGAGGTGAGAGTTGTTGTGGCTAGTGTTGTCGGAAGTGTGGTCTGCGCCGTTGTAGGCCGAGTGGTTTTCCCTGTGATATAACATCAATCAATATCTACCATACAAATTCTCTGTTGTAAAGACATGTCGGATTGAAGATGTGTCCGTTGCAGCCGTAGTTACATTTTGTTGTTAAAAGTAGCCTAGTCGGAAGTGTTGTATCCTCTGTTGTTTGGCTATTTCTCTTCTCTGAGGTAAGATAAATTGTTATCTTAGACTAAATACTTTGTCACGACCACTTCTGGATCGTGGATGTTTTGTTTTGTATACGTTTTACTTTCAAAGGTATAGCGCGGTTACCTGTTGTAAATTGTGTCGTTGGCTTTTTCGTGGTTGGGAGGGTTGTGAGTTGTGTTGTTGGATTTTTCGTCGTTGGGATAGTGGTGACCTGTGTGGTTTTCTCTGCAACAAACAGCCCATTTTTAAGATAACTCTGTGAGCTTTGACAGTAATCTGAAGGCCTATCTTTTCCTGTTAAGTTCATTTCGTGCAAACTGTCTTGAAATATTATTCCTGCAAATGGTATTAAAAGATTATTCTTTTTCCTTTGCCAATTGCCAATTATGTTTTGTATACATACATCTGGTACGTTTTACTTTCAAAGGTATAGCGCGGTTACCTGTTGTAAATTGTGTCGTTGGCTTTTTCGTGGTTGGGAGGGTTGTAAATTGTGTTGTCGGATTTTTTCGTCGTTGGGATAGTGGTGACATGTGTTGTTTTCTCTGCAACAAACAGCCCATTTGAACTTTAAAAGCATCCTAAAACATTATCTTGTCCTTTAAAGTTAATTTCCTGCAAATGTTCTTAAGGGTATTCTTAAAAAATCAGATCATAGCAGGCTCTTTATTTTTGACGGATGGCAATTTCTGCAATGAATATCTATTTTGTACTCGTCGTAAGTTGGTGTTGATATATTGTTATGAACTGCCAATACGTAGGTGGAACTAAGATACGTTTTTCACTTCTTATAGAGGAATTACTTGTGTTTACCTGTTGTAATTTCAGTTGTAGGTTGCACCGAGGTAGGTAGAGTTTATATTAGACTGTTTCTATACTAATAGGGACTGTCGATGCGTTGGGAAAATCTATATTTCGTCATTGTTGCAGAAATTAGTGTTGTTTTACCTGTTGTAGGTTGCACTGAGGATGGTACAGTTGTTTTTTGGGTTGTTTGTTGTGTAGATTTGAGAGTGGTGACAATGGTAGTCGGTATGGTTGTCTTTTCGGTGTTCTGTTCTGTAGAGATGTGTGTTGTTGGGACCACTGTTGTTGGAAGTGTTGTCTTCCCCGTTGTAAGTCGAGTGGTTTCCTCTGAGATAAGATAAGTTGTTATTAATGACCAAATCGTCTCCTGGAATGTACGTCCGTTAGCTGCTTGTTGTAAACGGATTATCAAGGCAAGTTACAGCTCAAGACTATATTTCCGTCCTTAACCATGGTTGAAAGTCCTGTGACCTATGTAGATGACTTGGCTTTGTTGGAAATAAAATCATGACTTGTCCTGAGTCGTGAACGGCGTTGCTATTGTTTTGAAAGCCACAGCTTGCTTTGACAAACAAGCTGTAACAACAGTGATTATAAGGTCAAAGTAGTCACAATAGGGAGATCAAAATTTCATTATTCTATTATTGTTTTTTATGAAACATTCTTTGTCATCAATGTAGTTTTACCCGTGGTGATCAGGGTTGTAGGCTGAGCTGTGGAAAGTAGCGTAGATTTATGAGTAGTTTGTTGTGTAGTCTTTTGTGTAGTGACAATGGTAGTTGGTAAAGTTGTCTTTTTGGTGGTATGTGCTGTGGTTCTCTCCGTCGAGATGTGTGTTGTTGGGAATATTGTTGTTGGAAGTGTCGTTCTTTCTGTTGTAGGCCGAGTGGTTTTCTCTGTGATGAAACGAATTGTTATCCGTGACTAATTCCTCGCTTGTATGGTAGACTTGTCCGTAACTAGGTGATTTCACAAAATGTTACTAAGCTAAATGTTTACCCTGTTTGATGCATATTTTAGTATGTTTTTTTACCCGTTGTAACCAATGTTGTAGGCTGTACTGTTGAAGGAAGCGTAGATTTATGGGTTGTTTGTTGTGTTGATTTTTGTGTGGTGAAAATGGTAGTTGTCTTTTCGGTCGTCTGTCCTGAAGTTCGTTCGGTTGATTTGTGTGTTGTTGGGACTATTGTTGTAGGAAGTGTTGTCTTTTCTGTTGTAGGCCGTGTAGTTTTCTCTGTAATGAAATTCGTTGTTATCCGTGTTATATTCACACTGTTGTTTGGTCCTCTTGATTGTTGATGTGTCTATGTGTTATATAGTTTCAGCAGAGATTACTTAAGTAATGTTTACCCAGTTCAATGTTGTAGTTTCCGGTTATGCTTGCAGTTATAGTTACATAGTTTTACCTGTAGTCACCAAGGTTGTAGGATGTATTGTTGAAGGAAGCGTAGACTTAAGGGTAGTTTGTTGTGTTGTTTTTGACGTGGTGGCAATTGTGGTTGGTAAAGTTGTCTTTTCTGTGGTTTGTGTAGTAGTTTGTTCCGTCGTGATGTGTGTTGTTGGGACTATTGTTGTTGGTAGGGTTGTCCTTTCTGTTGTAAGTTGTGTGGTTTTCTCTGCAACAAACATTGTTATCTGTTACTAATTACCTGTCTTTCTCAGCAGAGATTACAACGTAATGTCTAAGAAGATTAAGTTGTGTTTTGTTATGTTTGTATTTGTATAATTTTACCCGTGGTGACCAACGTTGTAGGCTGTACTGTAGAAGGTAGCGTAGATTTATGTGTGGTTTGTAGTGTTGATTGTTCTGTGGTGACAATAGTACTTGATAAAGTTGTTCTTTCGGTTGTCTGCGTAGTAGTTCTGTCCGTCGATATATGTGTCGTTGGAACTACTGTTGTTGGAAGCGTTGTTCTCTCTGTTGTAGGTCGTGTGGTTTTCTCTGTGATGATTACAAATTGTTATCTGTGATCAAATACTGTTTTAAAGCATCTGTAATATAGATATGTTTGTTATGGATTTTACAGATTGTTTTAGCAGAGATTGCTAAAGTACTGTTTATCGAGTTTGTATTTTCTGACCTGTTGCTGTAGTTATGTTTACTTTTACTTTCAAAGGTATAGCTCAGTTACCTGTTGTAATTTGTGTCGTTGGCTTTTTCGTGGTTGGGAGGGTTGTGAATTGTGTTGTTGGATTTTTCGTCGTTGGGATAGTGGTGACATGTGTTGTTTTCCCTGCAATGAAAAAAATCAACTTAAATCATTGTTGGAAAGAATGTTTTTCAAGACCAACCCATTTTAATATAAGTTGTCTTTATTGCATTGTTCTTGCAAAGTGCATTAAAATGTATAGTTTTGCTCTCTCCGGTAAAAACGATGACATATTTTTCAAACAGCCATTTTACCTGTCGTGACTTCTGTTGTAGGTTGCACTGATGATGGTATCGTGGTCCTTTGGGTTGTTTGTTGTGTAGATTTGAGAGTGGTGACAATGGTAGTCGGTATGGTTGTCTTTTCGGTGGTCTGTTCTGTAGAGATGTGTGTTGTTGGGACTATTGTTGTTGGGAGTGTTGTCTTCCCCGTTGTAACTCGAGTGGTTTCCTCTGAGATTAGATTTGTTATAAAATTGTTATCAAACTGTTATCTATGACAAAACATCTCCTAGAATGTATGTCATTTTCCTGATAGCTGTAATAGAAATAATCAAGGTCAGTAACAACGAGTTAGGAAATGCATTTTCGTCATGGAATTATAGTTTCAACTAAGAAAATACTGTTTTATCCATATATATATGTAGAATGGGTAATGGTAAGAATATCTGTTGTAGGCTGTGTACTTTTGTTAGATGACAAAATTGTTTTCTGTTACTTATAACTATGCTGTAGAATATCTAAAATAATGATGTTAACAGGTTATTGCTGTATGGCTTATCTTTTACTGCCTTGTTTGCCTATGTTTTAATACATTATAGTTTTACCTGTAGTGACCAACGAGGTAGGCTGTACTGTTGAAGGAAGCGTGGATTTGTGGGTAGTTTGTTGTGTTGTACTTTGTGTGGTTACAATTGTAGTTGGTAAAGTTGTCTTTTCTGTAGTCTGAGCTGTAGTTCTTTTCGTGGAGATGTGTGTCGTTGGAACTATGGTAGTAGGGAGTGTTGTCTTTTCTGTTGTAGGCCGTGTAGTTTTCTCTGAGATGGGAAAATTGTTTTCTGTGACTTATAACTATGCTGTATGATATCTAAAACAAAGATGGGTTGTTAATTGGTCGTTTCTGTATGGATCACTAAAGGTAGCCTTTATGTTTACTGCCTTGGCTGCCTATGTGCGTAGTAAATTGTAGGTTTACCTGTGGTGACCAACGAGGTAGGCTGTACTGTTGATGGAAGCGTGGATTTGTGGGTAGTTTGTTGTGTTGTCTGAGTTGTTGTTCTTTCAGTGGAGACGTGTGTCGTTGGAACTACGGTTGTAGGGAGTGTTGTCTTTTCTGTTGTATGTCGTGTTGTTTTCTCTGAGATGAGACAAAATTGTTTCTGTGACGTATAACTATGTTGTAGGATATGTCAAAGATGTGTTTGTTCAAGACCTCCATGACCAGATTACGAATTTGGGGCACAAGACCTCTAAGTCAATCTTTACCACGTTAACTGCCTTGCCTGCCTTTAGTTTGTATGTGCTAAATTGCAGTTTTACCTGTGGTGACCAACGTGGTAGGTTGAACTGTTGATGGAAGCGTGGATTTGTGGGTAGTTTGTTGTGTTGTTCTTTGTGTGGTTACAATTGTAGTTGGTAAAGTTGTCTTTTCGGTGGTGCGAGCTGTAGTTTTTTCCGTGGAAATATGTGTCGTTGGAACTAAGGTAGTAGGAAGTGTTGTCTTTTCTGTCGTAGGACGTGTAGTTTTCTCTGAGATGGGAAAATTGTTTTCTGTGACTTATAACTATGCTTTAGTGCATTTTAACAGAGATGTCCTTATTTACAAATTTTTTATGTATAGATCATTAAGATAATCTTATCGAGTTTACTGTTTTGTCTGAGTATGTGTGAAGTAAATTGTAGTTTTACCCGTGGTGACCAAGGTTGTAGGTTGTAATGTTGAAGGAAGAGTGGATTTGTGGGTTGTTTGTTGTGTTGTGTTTTGTGTGGTTACAATAGTGGTTGGCAAAGTTGTCTTTTCGCTTGTTTGTGCAGAAGTTCTTTCCGTGGATATGTGTGTCGTTTGGACTGGGGTTGTTTGAAGTGTCGTCATGTGTGTTGTAGGGCGTGTAGTTTTCTCTGAGATGGGACCAATTGTTATCTGTTATTCATCACAATGCTGTTGGGCACCTGAAACATCACAATGCTGTTGGGCACCTGAAACGTAGAACAAAATCTACAAATTACCAAGCTAATGTTTTTCGAGTTAAGCGTGCTCTCTGAGTGTGTGTGTCGTAAGTTGTAGTTTTACCGGTGGTGACCAAGGTTGTAGGCTGTACTGTTGAAGGAAGCGTGGATTTCTGGGAAGTTTGTTGTGTTGATATTTCTGTGGTTAAACTAGTAGTTGGTAAAGTTGTCCTTTCGGTGGTCTGAGCTGTAGTTCTTTCAGTGGAGACGTGTGTCGTTGGAACCACGGTTGTGGGGAGAGTTGTCTTTTCTGTTATAAGCCGTGTAGTTTTGTCTGAGGTGTGACAAATTGTTTTCTTTGACTTTATATATATGCTGTATGGTATCTAAGAATGATGTGCTTGGTAGCAGAATGTTTCTGTATAGATCACTGAAGTAATCTTTATCTAGATTGCTGTCTTGTCTGTTGATGAGTGTAGTAAATTGCAGTTTTACCTGTGGTGACCAACGAGGTAGGCTGTACTGTTGAAGGAAGCGTGGATTTATGGGTAGTTAGTTGTGTTGTACTTTGTGTGGTTACAATAGTAGTTGCTAAAGTTGTCTTTTCTGTGGTCTGAGCTGTAGTTCTTTTCGTGGAGATGTGTGTCGTTGGAACTATAGTAGTAGGGAGTGTTGTCTTTTCTGTTGTAGGCCGTGTAGTTTTCTCTGAGTTTAGACAAATTGTTTTCTGTGACTTAAAACTATACTGTATGATATCTGAAACAAAGTTGGGCTGTTAATTGATTGTTTCTGTATAGATCACTAAAGGTATCCTTTGTTATGTTTACTGCCTTGGCTGCCTATGTTCGTAGTAAATTGTAGATTTACCTGTGGTGACCAACGAGGTAGGCTGTACTGTTGATGGAAGCGTGGATTTGTGGGTAGTTTGTTGTGTTGTCTGAGCTGTTGTTCTTTTCAGTGGAGACGTGTGTCGTTGGAACTACGGTTGTAGGGAGTGTTGTCTTTTCTGTTGTATGTCGTGTAGTTTTCTCTGAGATGAGACAAAATGGTTTCTGTGACGTATAACTATGTTGAAGGATATGTCAAAGATGTGTTTGTTAAAGACCTCCATGTCCAGATTACGATTTTGGGGCACAAAGATCTCTAAGTCAATCCACGTTAACTGCCTTGCCTGCCTTTGTATGTGCTAAATTGTAGTTTTACCTGTAGTGACCAACGTGGTAGGTTGAACTGTTGAAGGAAGCGTGGATTCGTGGGTAGTTTGTTGTGTTGTTCTTTGTGTGGTTACAATTGTAGTTGGTAAAGTTGTCTTTTCGGTGGTGTGAGCTGTAGTTTTTTCCGTGGAAATATGTGTCGTTGGAACTATGGTAGTAGGAAGTGTTGTCTTTTCTGTCGTAGGACGTGTAGTTTTCTCTGAGATGGGAAAATTGTTTTCTGTGACTTATAACTATGCTTTAGTGCATTTTAAAGTCGTTATTAACAAACTTTTTTATGTATAGAAAATTAAGCTAATCTTATCGAGTTTACTGTTTTGTCTGAGTATGTGTGTAGTAAATTGTAGTTTTACCCGTGGTTGACCAAGCTGTAGGTTGTAATGTTGAAGGAGAGTGGATTTGTGGGTAGTTTGTTGTGTTGTGTTTTGTGTGGTGACAATAGTGGTTGGCAAAGTTGTCTTTTCGATTGTTTGTGCAGAAGTTCTTTCCGTGGATATGTGTGTCGTTTGGACTGGGGTTGTTTGAAGTGTCGTCATGTGTGTTGTAGGGCGTGTAGTTTTCTCTGAGATGGGACCAATTGTTATCTGTTATTCATCACAATGCTGTTGGGCACCTGAAACATCACAATGCTGTTGGGCACCTGAAACGTAGAACAAATTCTACAAATTACCAAGCTAATGTTTTTTGAATTAATCGCGCTTTCTGAGTGTGTGTGTCGTAAGTTGTAGTTTTACCGGTGGTGACCAAGGTTGTAGGCTGTACTGTTGAAGGAAGCGTGGATTTCTGGGACGTTTGTTGTGTTGATATTTCTGTGGTTAAACTAGTAGTTGGTAAAGTTGTCCTTTCGGTGGTCTGAGCTGTAGTTCTTTCAGTGGAGACGTGTGTCGTTGGAACAACGGTTGTGGGGAGAGTTGTCTTTTCTGTTGTAAGCCGTGTAGTTTTCTCTGAGGTGTGACAAATTGTTTTCTTTGACTTTATATATATGCTGTATGGTATCTAAGAATGATGTGCTTGGTAGCAGAATGTTTCTGTATAGATCACTGAAGTAATCTTTATCTAGATTGCTGTCTTGTCTGTTGATGAGTGTAGTAAATTGCAGTTTTACCTGTGGTGACCAACGAGGTAGGCTGTACTGTTGAAGGAAGCGTGGATTTATGGGTAGTTTGTTGTGTTGTACTTTGTGTGGTTACAATAGTAGTTGGTAAAGTTGTCTTTTCTGTGGTCTGAGCTGTAGTTCTTTCCGTGGAGATGTGTGTCGTTGGAACTATGGTAGTAGGGAGTGTTGTCTTTTCTGTTGTAGGCCGTGTAGTTTTCTCTGAGTTTAGACAAATTGTTTTCTGTCACTTATAACTATACTGTATGATATCTAAAACAAAGATGGGTTGTTAATTGGTTATTTCTGTATACAGTAGTAGATTACTCAAGGTAACCTTTGTTATGTTTACTTCCTTGGCTGCCTATGTGTGTAGTAAATTGTAGGTTTACCTGTGGTGACCAACGAGGTAGGCTGTACTGTTGATGGAAGAGTGGATTTGTGTGTAGTTTGTTGTGTTGTCTGAGCTGTTGTTCTTTCAGTGGAGACGTGTGTCGTTGGAACTACGGTTGTAGGGAGTGTTGTCTTTTCTGTTGTATGTTGTGTAGTTTTCTCTGAGATGAGACAAAATGGTTTCTGTGACGTATAACTATGTTGTAGGATATGTCAAAGATGTGTTTGTTAAAGACCTCCATGACCAGATTACGATTTTGGGGCGCAAGATCTCTAAGTCAATTCCACGTTAACTGCCTTGTCTGCCTATGACTGTGCTAAATTGTAGTTTTACCTGTAGTGACCAACGTGGTAGGCTGAACTGTTGATGGAAGCGTGGATTTGTGGGTAAGTTTGTTGTGTTGTCTGAGTTGTTGTTCTTTCAGTGGAGATGCGTGTCGTTGGAACTATGGTAGTAGGGAGTGTTGTCTTTTCTGTCGTAGGACGTGTAGTTTTCTCTGAGATTTAAATATTATTTTATGTGACTTCTAACTATGCTGTAGGATATCTAAGACAAAGATATGCTGTCAACATATTGATTCCAGATTATTGTTCTAATCTTAGTCGTGTTAACTGCATGTCTGTTTATGTGTGTAATAAATTGTAGTTTTACCTGTGGTGACTTGAGTTGTTACATGCGCTGTGGTAGGGATTGTGGTGACTTTTGTTGTTTCGAGGGTGGTTACTTGAGTTGTTGGATGCGCTGTGGTAGGGATGGTGGTGACTTTCGTCGTTGGCTTTGTTGTTTGGAGGGTGGTTACTTGAGTTGTTGGATGCGCTGTGGTAGGGATGGTGGTGACTTTTGTTGTTTGAAGGGTGGTTACTTGAGTTGTTGGATTCGCTGTGGTAGGGATGGTGGTGACTTTCGTCGTTGGCTTTGTTGTTTGGAGGGTGGTTACTTGAGTTGTTGGATTCGCTGTGGTAGGGATGGTGGTGACTTTTGTTGTTTGAAGGGTGGTTACTTGAGTTGTTGGATGCGCTGTGGTAGGGATGGTGGTGACTTTCGTCGTTGGCTTTGTTGTTTGGAGAGTGGTTACTTGAGTTGTTGGATTCGCTGTGGTCGGGATGGTGGTGACTTTTGTTGTTTGAAGGGTGGTTACTTGAGTTGTTGGATGCGCTGTGGTAGGGATGGTGGTGACTTTCGTCGTTAACATAGTGGTCAGTTGCGTTGTTGGGTCCCCTGTTGTCGGGATGGTTGTAAAATGCGTCGTTGGATGTCCTGTTGTTGGGATGGTTGTAAAATGCGTTGTTGGTTGCCCTGTTGTCGGGATGGTGGTGATATGCGTCGTCGGTTGCCCTGTTGTCGGGATGGTTGTAAAATGCGTTGTTGGACGCTTTGTTGTCGGGATGGTGGTGATATGCGTTGTTGGTTGCTTTGTTGTCGGGATGGTGGTGATATGCGTTGTTGGTTGCCCTGTTGTTGGGATGGTCGTGATATGCGTTGTTGGATGCCTGTTGTCGGGATGGTGGTGAAATGCGTCGTTGCAACTTTGAACAAACAATATTCGGTGTTAGATTCCATCTATCGAGACAAATATAAAAGAATGCTTAGAATTATCGGATTTGTAGGCCATATATGATAGAGCATCTCCATCTTCATTTACTACTTTTAAGCAGGTGGTGGTATTTTGAATTCTTTCTCTGTTAGTAGTATCCTCAACCCTATTTGTGTTAAGGAGGTGAGGATCAGCTGTAACAGCCGTATGTATCATACTAAATAAGTGTGTCACAAGTATATGGACGGACAAGAGAAACATTCTGAGATAATGACATTTGCAATAGGTCCTCACCTTCACAAGACACCCACCCATCCCCTACGAAGCCATCGTGGCAAGAACAGTTGTATCCATACTCCCAAGACGGATAACAGGTGGCATTCGTGTGGCATTCGTATGGGACTGTACCATGGACATCGTACGTGATTGTCTCATTTTGTATCGCTTGGTGTGTCCCATCCATTGTCCCATTGCAGCCCCATAAAACCTTCAGTGCTGTAGGAAAGAGAACATTATTTGATGATTTTATCTTGAACCGTTCGAGGATATTTGCAATTGGTATATACAAGTGCATAATAATTCGTTGGGTAAATGTTACTGATTCAGAGCTTTCACGACTTCTGCTTATGGAGACACATGAAATATAGCCAAGAGAATTTAGAGGATCGAAGGCGTTTCTAGGCGTGAAAGCATATCTTATTTGACATTGCAAGTACATTTGTATTATCTAGCTTGAAAGAAGTCTATTTGTTTAGACAAACCCATACCTTCCATCCCAGTAGCCGTCTGGTCTACAGTGTAATTTCCAGTGTAATTTCCAATTGTGTCTCCTGACAAGCTTTCCACCAGGTTGGTTATATTTGCCTCTTCCTCCGGGTGAACCTCAACCTCAACTACAGGAGTCACACTTCCATGCCTGAGTAGCAAGCGCAACAATTTTTCATCATATTTTCTTCATCGGTCAGTACCTTTACTGGTATTCATATGGATCTGTTCCCAATTAATCAATAAGTGTGGCGTGCTTATATATATATATATATATATTATTATATATATATATATTTATTTATATTATACCCGGGCCGCGATAACGTTCGATAGCGGGTTCCGGACCGGGCCGTACTTTACGGTACGGCCCGGTCCGGAACCCGTTATCGAACGCTTCCATGGCTTCCATAAAACGATTCGAACGCGTTTCGCCCTACCCGCTTGTGCCCCTTTCGAAAATTCGAATACAGAATCCGGACGTTGGAATTGATGTTGTTGCATTTTTAGGGTTTAGTGGCACCAACTTTTGGCTCATCTTGCATTGAAAGGCGCGTTTTCTTGGGTGGGTATGATATAAATAAAATACAACACGGTGTATTCCGCATCGCCCTCGGTCCCGGCCCTCCCGCGAGTCGGATCGCCCTCCGGCCTGCGGCCGTCGGGCGATCCGACCCGCGGTCGGGCCGATACCTCGGGCGATACGGAATACCCCGTGTTGTATATCTATATATGTGTGTGTGTGTGTGTGTGTCTGTGTGTGTGTGTCTGTGTGTATACATGTAAGTCTAGATCCCTCCGTAACTGGAAGGCTGTATTTTCTTCGTACCTTACGTCGAGGACAGTGATTCTTCCTATCCTGAAAAATCTGAAGAACCAAAGTAGCTGTAAAAACCAAAAAACAGGTGATCGTTAGTTCATTCCATCTTAACAAGGTTTATATATCCCAGACAAGACACGATTCTACGTTCTAGCTAGCATTTCCTCTATCAATTTGTTTCTCATTTTATAGCTATTACATTATCTTACAGCTATTACATTATACGTCGATGAAGGTTAGGCATTCAGGTATTGATATGCATGAGAAACTGTTACTGGATAGATTTTAAAGCAACTGGATAGATTTAAAAAAAACTGAAAACTGTCAGACGTTTCAAGTAGCATTCATAAATAGCATCAGTGACGAAAAGTAGTGGATGCTACTTGAAACGTCTGACAGTTTTTTTTTTAATCTACCCCGTTGCTTGAGCTATGAAAGTCTATTCAGTTGATTGGGCGACAGATTCCTTGTGATTAGTACAAAGTACGTAGTAAGTTACATATTAAGTACCACACGAATGAAGTCCAGTATGAAGTTCCAGAGGCTGTCAAACGTTGCCGTAACGTTGGCAAAGTTCAGGTTTACCAACCGAAATGCACAGTACACGATGATGAACCTGCGACCTAATGAGGATTAAGAAATTGATAACGTTTATAAAAAGCAGCAAACTGTTTGTTGAAAATTAAAAGAAAAGATATTTCTATTTCAGCAGATGTACAGAATTACAGATATATTCTTAAATGAAGAATCATATTTACGAGGTGTAGTTGTTGTTGGGGTGGTGACCAGTGGCGTTGGTGTGGTGGTGGTGACCAGTGGCGTTACTGTGGTTGAAACAGTGGTATCTGAAATGAAATTGAAAAAGAATTTAAACACATAATCCAATTTTCGATTAACCCAAAGGGACAATAGTGAATGTTAATGTAAATGTTGCTGTAGTCGGTATCAATATGAAATTTTACCCGTTGTAACCTTTGTTGTAGGCTGTACTGTGGACAGCAGCGTAGATTTATTTGTATCTTGCTGTGTTTTAAGTGTGGTGCCAACAAAAGTTGCTAACATTTTTGTCAACGTCTGTGCACTAGTTCCTGGTCGATTTATGTCGTTCGGACTATTGCTGTTGGAAGTGTTTAGAATGTGTGAGTTCATCAAACCAATTCTGAGACCAATTATTCTGTTCTCTTGGGATCTGGTGCGTATATTTGCTCATTAACAGATTGCTTGAGCAATGATTGCTGGTCCAACTTTAAGAAGTTTAACTTTTAATTTTCGAAGGACATCATACAAGGACCTTGTATTTTCTATAATATAAACAGGTTTGTAGCAATGTTTACCAAATATTGTATTGCTAGTGGGTTAGTGTTTTGCCTGTGATATTGTCTGTATTTGAATGCAACCTCACGTATTCCTGTTGTAATTTGTGCTTGGCTTTACCGTGTTTTGAAGAGTCGACACCTGTGTGGTTAGCTTTACCGTGGTTAGTGATAGGTGTGGTTTCGTATGAGGTTTGGTAAGGTTTACTCCATGCTTTTTATTAGTATTAGCTTTGCTTTGCTTTTAAAGACATCTGCAACATCAAGAATTTTGAATCAAATGTTTCTATGTTAAAGAGTAAGCAAGGTCGTTATTCTTTGGTATCAAAATAAGTTTACCCGTTGTAGATTGTACTGTAGATTGTGGCGTGGATTTTTGGGTGGTTTGCTGTGTTGATTTTGCGGTGGTTTGTGCTGTAGTCCTTTCTGTCGACACTTGTGTTGTTGGGACTGCTGTTGTTGTTAGAGTTGTCTTCTCTGTTGTGGGTCTTGTGGTTTTATCTGGTATTGTATATGATTATTAATACTTGTATATAATTATCAATGACTAGGTACCATTAAAAGAACATTTATGTTTATGAATAAGGTAGTAAATTGCTGTAATTTACAACATGTTGTTGAAGGTATTAGTTAACATGAGAAGAAATATGTAACAGCGGAAATTTTAAATTGAATGTTTCCATGTTAAAGAGAATTCCATCTTAATATTTTATTATCGGTATCGAAGTAGTTTACCCGTGGTGATTAAGGTTGTAGGTGGTACTGATGACAGTAGCGTAGATTTATGGGTAGTTTGTTGGGTTGATTTTTGTGTGGTGACAATAGTAGTTGGTAAAGTTGTCTTTTCGGTGGTTTGTGCGGTAGTTCGTTCCGTCGTTATTTGTGTCGTTGGGGCCACTGTTGTTGACAGAGTTGTCTTCTGTGTTGTAGGCAGTGTCGTTTTCTCTACGATTTTATATAAAGATATATATTGTTATCAATCAATATATACTTGGTTAAGACTTGCTTTCAGATTAACTCGTTCCACTTAGATGGTACTTTTTCAATAAGGTTTGCAGTGGGGTTAAGATAAACGACGACTAGATACTCTTGACAGGATATTTTGTTTAGAGACCGTTAAAATTACATTTTATAGACAATGTAGTTAATTGCTGTCGCTTGCACTATTATGCTCTTTAAACTACTAGTATTTGTTTTGTTGAAAAAGAAATCTCCAATAGCGGTAATTTGAAGCGTTTTTATGTTAATAATGAATTAGCCTCTGCCATTATTATATCATCCGTATCAAAGTAGTTTACCCGTGGTGATCAAGGTTGTAGGCGGTACTGATGACAGTAGCGTAGATTTATGGGTAGTTTGTTGGGTTGATTTTTGTGTGGTGACAATGGTAGTTGGCAAAGTTGTCCTTTTGGTGGTTTGTGCAGTAGTTCTTTCCGTCGTTATTTGTGTCGTTGGGACTTCTGTTGTTTGAGGAGTTGTCTTCTCCGTTGTAGGCCGTGTGGTTTTCTCTACGATTTTGTATATATATATATATATATATATATATTGTTATCAATCACTATATACTTGGTCAAG